ATTGAGGCTGAGTTTTCCAAGCTGAACAAAGTAGAAGATGATCTAGCATAGTCTGGGAAGGCTATATCTGATAGTGACCTTATCTGCAAGACTACTGCCCAATAAGCCTTTTGGAATAAATTGTTGGTGAAGGATAGTATGATTATGCAAAAGGTGAGAACAAAATGGATTCATGAGGGTGATCTAAATACGAAATATTTCCACTCTTTGTTAAAATGTAAATCCAGACGAAATGCTATCACTGCTCTAAAATCAGGTGATGATATTTTCGAAGATGTCAACTCTATCAAAAAAGCCTCAAAGGAATATTTTGCTAATAGGTTCTCAAAGACTGGTTTGCCTCGACCAAGAATGAATTTTGATGACTTGCCCAAGCTTTCACCTGTTGAAATTTCACATCTGGTGGAACCTTTTGTGTTGATGAAATACACTCTGCTCTCTTCAACTGTGGTGATAACAAAAGTTCGGGACCCGACAACTTTAACTTTGATTTTCTAAAGTCTTGTTAGGATGTTGTTGGAGCTGACGTTACTAATTGCATCTTGGAGTTTCATTTGAATGCAACCCTCCCTAAAGCAATGGTCTCATCTTTTGTGGTCATAATACCAAAGATTGACAATCCGCATAGGCTTGAGGATTTTAGGACAATATGCCTAATTGGGCCCATCTATAAGATCATATCAAAATTTATAGTTGGTTTTTTAGTAAGGTTATTTGCAAGCTTATTTCAAAGGCACATATGGGCTCTATTCCTAGTTGAAATATCCTGGATGGTGTGATTGTCGCTAATGAAGTAATTGACTTTGCAAAACGTAACAAATCAAGTTGCTTATTGTTCAAGATTGATTTTGCAAAGGCGTTCGATTATGTTGATTGGCATTTCTTGGAATAAGTTCTTCTTGCTGTAGGTTTTGGCGAAACATGGATGTGTTGGATGAAGGGTTGAGTATTCAAAAGCCATTTATCCATAATCATTAACGGTGGCATAACACGTGATTTTAAAGTTTCCAGGGGCTTACGACAGGGGGACCCTTTGTCTCCTTTCTTGTTCTCTTTGGTTGTTGAAGGACTCATTTCTTTGGTAAAAAAAGATGTGTCCTTAGGCATTCTGAATGGATTTAAATTTAACGACAATGTTTCTGTTAACTTGCTACAATTCGCTAACGACACAATCTTGGTTTGTGATGGCTCTGTGTCCAACATGTGGGGTATCAAAGCGGTCCTTCGAGGATTTGAATTGGTGTCCAGCCTGCAAATCAATTCCTTAAAAAGCAAGTTATATGGTGTCTATGTGGAAGATTCTTTCTTGGCGGCTGCTATGCATTTTCTGGCTTGCAAAAAGGAAACCATGCCATTCAAATTCCTTGGTTTTGCAATTGGTAGAAACCACAGACGCATCTCGTTTTGGAAGTCAGTCATCTCTTGTTTCAAGAATCGACTTCCAACTTGGAAGGGGAGTATGCTCTCTATCGGAGGTAGGGTTTCCCTCATCAATTTTGTGTTGACAAATTTACCGATCCATCACTTCTCCTTCTTTAAATCTCCTGCTAAAATCATTCACCAAATAATCTCTACCCGAAGAAAGTTTCATTGGGTTGGCTGTGTTGAATCAAATGGAATTTCTTGGATAAGCTGGAAATCTGTCTGTAAACCTAAAGGGTTTGGTGGTTTAGGGATCAAACATGTTGGACTCTTCAATAAAGCTCTTCTTTCCAAATGGCTATGGAGATGCGTTAACGATCATGAAGCTATCTGGCGTGAGATTTTGAAGGCTCGCTATGGAAATCTTCGCCGTAACATTTTTCTCAATGTTGTCCACATAAACTCGCGCCTTGAATCTCTCTAGTGGAAAGACTTGTTAGCTTGTGCTTGCTCTACAAAAATAGGAGAGTTTTTGTAGAATCTAAATTGCAGGTTGGGAAATGGGAGATTGGTTTCATATTGGTGCGTTTTGGCTTGGCAACAGACCTCTAATGCAGGTTTTTTCGAGTTTGTTTGATGCAGCTGCTAACAAACTTGCTTCAGTTGCAAACATGGGAAATTGGTCTGCTGATACTTGGATTTAGGGTCCTGATGCTAATTTTGTCACAGCCATGGTTGTCAAACTCACGAGTAGACTCGTACGAGTTTACGAGTCTAGGAAGCATAAACGAGTATACTCATGCATAGAACCATTTTTTGATAGACTTGAGTAAACTCGCACAAACTCGTATAGAATCGCGAGTCTATAAAGAGTTTACGAGTCTATAAGTTTTTATTTTGAATATTTTTAAAACCAAAAGAGGCCTAAATTCCCCCAAAAAAATTATTTTTTATTTATAAAAAAACGTATTTTTTTTTGCTTGTGCGAGAATTAAAAAGCCTTTCTCCTAGTCTCTTGTTTCAACAAAGTTTCTTCCTCCTTTCATCAATAGTGTGAGTTTGTTCTGTCTATTACTTTGATTGTGTTCATGGTCGTAAATCAATCATTTTTTGTGTAAGTATTTTCTTATATGTTTCAATTGAATGTTTCTCATGTATGATATCTTGTGTAAAGGTGATGCGCCATTGTCCAATCAGGTCCAATGATCCCAATACACAAGTATCAATTTGCATGTGACAAAATAGTTTAGAAAATTGATGATTTATGGAAAAATAATAATTTAGAAAGGATATCTTACCTACTGAAGCGTGAGATTTATATGGAGATATGACTCTAAAATTAAAAAGGTTTGCATTTCGTTTTCTAAGCTTAACTTATAGCTCATCTGGTTGTGAACGTAATTGGAGTTCCTTTGAAATGATAATGAATTATTATTTGTTTGTTTATAGACTTAATTTTAATTTTTTAGAAAAATTTATTTGAATTATTATTTACTTTTTAGGTTCATACAAAGAGAAGAAATAGGCATCAAAAAGAGGTGAAAACTTTGGTTTATGTCATGTTTAATTTAAAGTTGAAAAGTGGAAAAGGAAAATTAAATAGTGTTGTTATTTTATTTGAAGATAATCGTTCAGATGATGAATAGATAATGGAAGACCCTAATGAACAAACTGTGCAAACAAAAGTAAATGTTGAGTAAGATGATGTTATTGTTAATAATGTTATGAAAGTTTATGTTATTGTAACTAATATTGTGCATAGTGATGGTGGTGGCAATATTAAATTAGGTGGAAGTGAAGTTTCAAACAATCCAACATTGATTAATGATGAAGAAGGCGTTTCATCAAAGACAAAGTTTAACGATGATTCTCAAGATACCGATAAAGATGATGGTGATTATATTGGTGGTGGTGATTTCACAAGAGCTTTGGATGTTTGAAGCTAATAGCATATATGTTTTTTTGCTTGATGTAGTAGCCAATTAAAAAGATATTATTAATGTAAGTCTTTAACAACATACTTGGCAAAAAAATTTTGTTTTGTTATCGAGTTTTTGGTTATGAAATTTTTTATGGATTATGAAATTTAAAATTTCATGTTAATTGGTGTTCTATTATATATTTGTGTCATATACGAGAAATTTATAAGTTTAAAAACATAGGAGCGTGTCATATATGTATCACTTATAGGTTTTTGAAAGTCATTTTTAATTTTTCATAGACTCGTACGTGAGTTGAGTCTGCGAGTCGAGTCTACAGACCCTTAACGAGTCTGTGTAGACTCGCGAGTTTGACAACCTTAATCACAACTATTGTTGTAGATCCCGGTTTGAATTTTGAAATCTCAGATCTCATGTTTCTATCAGAGATAAAACATATTCCTGCCGTTGAAGATGTTTTCATTTGGCCTTTGAATCATGATAATTACTTATTAGTGTTTTCTTCATACGACTCCTTGTTAAAAGTTTCAGGTATGATTGTGTCGGATGTTAATCTCAAGTTATCCTTTTTTATTATGGCAAACTAACATTTTTTTGAAGGTGAAATTTTTTGGATGGAAACTAATGTTGGATAGACTTGAAACTCGACCTAATCTCGCAATTAGAAATATCATTCCAAACTGCCAAGAATTAGTGTGTGTTTTCTGTTCTAATGCCTCTGAAGATTCTCATCCCTTATTCATTACGTGTCCGCAGATCAAACTTGTATGGGAGAAGATTGGAATTTGGTTGGGGATTGATGGTTTCGTTGAGGCAATTTGTGTTAAGCACCTTCGTTTGGTTCCTTCGTTTGTCTTCTATTTTTTCGAACTCTTCTGCTTGCTCGATTTAGTTCGCAACTTGTTGGTGCATTTGGTGGATGCAATGCCAAATTATTTTCAACGATACAGTCGACGATTCTGTAGCTATTTTTGATAAAACTATTCTATTCTTATGGCGTTGGTTAGCTTTAGGTAACAACATTAAAAGTAAGTGTTTTTTAATGATTCGACGATTCTGTAGCTATTTTTGATAAAACTATTCTATTCTTATGGCGTTGGTTAGCTTTAGGTAACAACATTAAAAGTAAGTGTTTTTTAATGATTCGTTAAAATGTCCTTTTATAACGCTTTGCTAGTTTTTTCAATTTTATAAAAAAAAAAAGTGTTTCTAAAATCAAAAGTTTAAGTTTAATTTTTCCTAAACGCATTTATATTTTAGAAAACTTTTGATAAAGTTATTGCTACTTTCAATATATTTAACTACTGAAAAGCTCCTTGTTTGTATAAGTTTCAGTTTGATATTTATTGCTTTATACAAATTTAAACAAATTGGATTGGGTAATTATAACTCAAATTTGTATTGTGAGATATTCAAATTTGTATTGTGAGAAATAAATAATTAAATAAATAAAAGGATCTTGTGTGAGAGGTTAGAAATGTTTTATTTTTAGTTTATTAATAATCTTATTATAACTTTCGAGAACACACTGATGAATGGAAAGATAAAAGCTCCTACCTACACCTTCATTTCTGTTTCACAAGTTACAGTCTCACATTTGTTTCAGTACATCTTTGTAACTAAAGCCTAAAAAGACTATTAACATAATCCTATTTATATGCATAACATTCTTCAACTTATTGCGTAGAACATACATTTTCAGACCTGGACCCCGATCCTCTGTGCTACCTGCGTCAGCAAAATATTCAAGTCATTTATCTATGCATAGACTCAGAGGTTTTATAAGTATTAAAAAGAGATGAAGATGCTAACATACCTCTTTAAAAGAGTGAACATCACTTCCCCAAAGCCAGGCATCACAGCCTGCATCTCTAGCACCCCATACATCATTACGACGGTCATCCCCGACATGAACAGCATCCTCAGGTTTTACGTCCAATAGTTCACACGCTTTGAGAAATATAGTTGGATTTGGTTTCTCTGCTGCAACCTGTATGAAAAAAGGCATATCATTGAATGTGATGAGTTCATAAATCAGCCATGCAATAGAAAAGGATGAATTGCTTATAAAGCCTTCGATTAACAGCACACATTACAAAACCATTATTCAAACGCATGGATGCTCGAACGTATTTTGGGTATAATAAAGAAAATGAAATTTGAAATAACTGTCAAGAGGATCTAACAAGTCATCTAACAGGACAACAAGAACACTCCACAAAATCTACTGAGTAACTAATGCTGAAGTGTTCATAATATACCACCAATACTTATTTTGGCCATCGAATTTTCCTTTTAAATTTCACTTAATTTATTTAAATTTTCCTCATTTACAAGCAAAGTTTGATGCATCTCCAACACTAAGGGTAATGCAACTCTCATGTAAATCCCTTGTTTCAAATGTAAGCATGGTCAGTTCAATTGGGGGAAAGCTCAAGAACATAATCCTGCAGCCCAGAATCATGCTAAGCTGCTTCCTCCAGTACATTGGGTGAGCCCACCACTAAAATAGACGCACTGTAATGCCAGCTTTACAATTGATATATGTGTGATACTACTAGAGAGTTTAGTAATGATATATGATATGAACAAAGGTTTATGCGCTTTCAATATCATGATAATTTTATCTGTATTTGATTTTCAAATTCCTAACATGTTTCTGCAAGATGTGACTTGAGGCAACGAATGGTTTAAGATCTATATCCCATTTGATGTTGTTAAGTAGATCAATACAGTAAATTACATGCATCAAAGGACGAGGGGGAGAAGTGGAGAACCAATAGAAACATGAACTAAGAAAACAAAATGTGAAAAAAACGAAGGGAAAAACAAAGCAATTTACTTACCTCAGCTGATACTGCTACAGCATCAAACCATTCATCACAGTTTAATGCTCTCAAGAGAGGTCTTAACCGGGTGTCAAAATTTGACACAACAGCCAATTTTACACCTGATTTTCTAAGAGCTTTGAACACTTCTCCTGCATTAGGGTCACATAGGTGCCATGCCTGTGGATGATAAAAACTAAAATATCAAACCCTACTCAAATTTAAAAAGGAAAAGAAAAGAAAGTTATTTGAGGTCTTACCTTGTCTGTCACATAATAGTTATAAAGTTCTTCAAAGTATTGAGAATCATCACAGCCGGTAGAATTACTAACTATGTATTGCCAGAACGGTCTACCATCTTTAACATATCTGCAAAGTAGAAAACAACAAAGACTCTTAAGCCTTAACTAAACAAATGAAAACAAGTAGTAACAAACGTAACCAACTGTCTCTATAGCTATCTATCCATGACAGATCACTCGTTTTAATGATTCGAAGTCATACAGACACACCAACAGGACGAGAAACATTTCATTCTAAACTTTACTCGCATAAAACAGTGTGTCTTGACTTAAAGGCCAATCAAACTTTGGCGCACAAAAGTCACTGAAACCTAACCCAAAAAAATCTAAATCAACAAATTTTCAAACAAACAAAATTCACACAGAGCATAACAATAGTTGATAATTCAAAGTATTTCATAATCATAATCAATTGATTTCACATTAAAACCTAAATCTTCAAAAGTGAATATGAATACAAAATTACAAATACTTGAATTTATTAATAACAAAAATGAAATTGCAAAATTTGGAAAGGGATCGAAAAGTAACAAGAACGAACCTGAGACGAGATTTACCCCAAGGCTGACTATAAGCTCTTCTGTATCTATCCAAAATCTCTTCCTCTGAATACTCCACACCATATTTCTCCCCAATTTGTCTATATATCTACAACACAATAAATCAGAAAATTAAAAAATAAAATAAAATAAAAAAAACTCACTGTCTATAATAAGAGAATTGAAAGAACCTGAGCCATAGGTTGAGAAGGAAGAACAAGAGTACCAACAGCATCAACGAGAAGAGCTTTATGCGTAATCTGACCGTACAGAGATCTTCTATAATCAGCATAATCTTTCAAATACGCGCCGCTCTCCAAACTTTCATCACTCGCCACCGCCGCGGAGGAGGAGTACGACGCCGACCACCACGATTTAGCGACTGCCGTCGTCGTGAGTGACCTCGATTTGGAAGATAGAAGAATCCTGAAACCACTCATAACGGCCATTTTGATTGCTCTTTTTTTCTTCACATAACTGTTTTGTTGTATGGTATTCCGAAGAAGAGAAGAAAGAAAAAGCTACTATTTATCACTGACTTGTTCACATGAATCACACAACACACGCATCGCAAGAAAATGAAAGGAAACGGAAAATGACTCTTTGTTATTTCTACGTGAGTCTTTCTTTATTTATTTTTTGCTTTTCTCACATGCTAGTTTTTTTTAGATTAAAAATAATGGAGACTCTTATGTATATGATAAATACATAAAGTGTGTCAAAAAGAAATGGTCAATTCATGATATTATCTATATATGTAACATGCTTATTGAATCAAATCTCATGGGTGTGGGTGGTTCTATAAATAGATAAAAAATTATTTTAATATGTGCGAAAAATGTTGTAATTTAGATTTAGAAGAAAATTAAAATGATCTTTAAGAAAATAAATTGGAATAATTTATTCTTTATTTTTTAAGATAAAAGTATTGTTTTATTATGTCAAATTAGTTTTTTAATTTTTTTTTTATAACGCTTTGTTCATTTATGTTAAGTAACATTTGTGTCGTTCAAGAAGGATTTGTTTAGAAATTTGACATTTAACATAACAGGTATTATAGTAAAACTCGAAGAAAAGATGATTGTATTTGGTAAACATTTACACAAACAAAATATTTCTAATAATTAAGGGTACATGGAGTATGTGCTTAATAAAGAGGACATGTCTATATGCAAATTTTTATTAAAATTCAAACGAGCCACAAACTTAATATTTAAACTTTGATCATTTCTTACATGAACTTTATTGAAACCTAGTAGGAATGTTTGTTTTGTAAACACGAGTCATAAGAAGTTAAGTGATGAGATACAATTGAGTTAATGAACCAAGATTGAAAATGAATTTCAACTAGTAAGGAGTATTCTTGAGTATGACATGTTGGTTGATAAGTAAGTACCATTGCGATTGTTGAGTTTAATATAGTAAATTTATCAGTCACTTTTGTTATTTGTCATCATTGAAGACTCTTGTTTAAAGAACAAATGGACCATCATATTTGTGCCACTAGTCTATCACTGCATGACCATATTTTCCACATAGTTGGCAGAAAGGACGATCACATGAACCACCACAAACTCCGTCACGCTCCTAACCTCGAGTGTGTCTTCCTCTACCTCGAAGATGCTTTAATTCTTGCTCAAGGTGATCTAAATTAGAAAAGACATTTGCTAGGCCAAGTTTTTGAAAAAATCTACCCAATTACGCTTCTTGAACATGCAACAAAGCTTCAATATCATAGAGGGAGGGAGGGTCATTTTTTCCATACATTTGTATTATGAATGGATTATACTCTTTAGGTCGGCCTTCATGAATTATCTCCACCTGATCTTGTTTAATGATGGTGTCGCCTACAACGATAAATTAATCGACAAGAGCCTTGGTACGAAAAACATACTCCGATACAATGTGATTTTTCTTTTTTGTAGATTTCAATTTAAATTTCAAATGTTGGACTCACATTTTCATCACTACATTGAAATATTTGTGAATTCGATCCCAAACCTCATAAGAGTATTTTTCTTTTTTGTTGATTTCAATTTAAATTTCAAATGTTGGACTCACATTTTCATCACTACATTGAAATATTTGTGAATTCGATCCCAAACCTCATAAGAGTGTTTGGATTTAAGAATCTTAGGTAGTACTGAATTGGAGATTATGGATAACATTCAAATGAAAAGAGGCTGATTTTGGACAATCCATATTTCATATTCAATTGAAATTGGATTGTTTTTCAATCAAGATTACTCTTGTACTCGGGAGAAATTTGTGAATTCACTACAAATTTATGCATTTTTATGTAAAGACCACCCCCATCAACTTGCTTATTACATGACAAAAGGTTGTTATTTTGATGTTTGATTGACAATTTTGGACAAAGGAAGCTAAACAATTAAGATTTCAAGTTAAAAGACATGAAAACCTGAGATGATTGAACCATTTCTTAAGATGATGGTTAATTAGGTTCTATCATTTGAACTTTTTTAAAGCCTATCTAATGTGCTTCTCTGAAGCTTTCTCGATATAGACCTCAATTGTAAAAATGTATAATTGAATCAAAGGCAAAAAACATATTAGAAACCTTGAATCTTTATTGAAATTTTTGCTTTAGTTTGAATTAGAAAGTTCTCAATCTCTATATTTCAATTAGTTACCTATATAGTATTTATACTAACAAATAGTTTGTTACAAAATTTCCTAACTAACTTATTCACACGTGAATCATTACAAGGCATTGCATATTAAATTGTGAAAGCATCAACAACCTTTTCCTTTCTTTTTCTTGTTAAAATGACTAATGTCCTTCTTTTCTTCTTTCTTATTAAGTCATCTAATATTTAGAAATTCGTGCTAATTAACTAGTATTTATATAATTTATACTTTTGTTTAGAAAAATTAAACTTAAAATTGATATATTTTTTATTTGTTATTACTCACTCCAATCTTATTTATAGAAAAAACATTATTTTTATATTCATTAAATAATCAATATACTTAGTCTAACAATAGAATTAGATATATATTTTCTTATAAATAGGACTAGAGAGATTTATTATTTATCTTTAAATTATTTTATTTATTTATTCATACAATAAATAAATATAATTTTTATAATTGCATTTTTCATAAAAAAATTAATGATATTTACTAATATAAAAACAATTGAAAAATAATTTATAATAAAAAAACAAATGAAGTATTGTTTTAGAAGTTATGGCAGTTGCTTTTGTCGTGTGATATGTATCGTCTTTCTGGTAATGCATTGAATACATTAAAATAAATATTTAGTTTTGGTTTTTGTAACTTTTCATTTCCCTATTTATGTATACGTAAAAAAACTTTATTACACTTATTTTCGGTTGTTTGTATCCTACCGTCTCTATTTACAAGCATATACTATTTTATCTCATCTCCCTAGTATATAAATTTCAAATAAAAAGATGGTGTCATTTTTTGCCTTGTTTTATTTCTTTCCTAAAAGCAAAAGAAAATGGAGTCTGAAAATTGAATAAAGTCCAAACATATTAATCAAAATCCTCGTCACAATTCTGTTTGTGGCTCTCAGTGACTCATCAAATTAATCGAAAAACATGTGTGGGTCCCACAGTGGGTATGAGTGGTGCAGCTTCTTTGATTCATTTCTGTATTGAGCTTTGGCTTTGTGTGACACGTTGGAATGTGAGAGTGTTATTCTAAGACCATGTAAGATTAGTAGTATTGTTGTAATTTTAAATTTTTCATTGCAATGATTGATGGTGAGTGAGGATTACGCTTCGTACAGATGAGGGTGAGAAATTTGTGGATGGTAACTCGGATTATAAAGTAACTAGAGAAACATCATGTGGACTCGGTTGTTTGATTGAGTTTACTAATAGACCAGGTCGCCCTACATGGATTTAATTCAGATCTCTCTATCTCTATCTTATCAGACTACATGGATTTAAAATCTGGTTTTATCTGAAGGTTCAGCTCAATTTATTTAAAATTCGACTTTCATTTGACTCATAATAAAAATATTAAATTTAGATTTTTTTATAATATTATTTATTTAAATAAATTTAAGCTCTAAAGTCTATTAAATCTATTAGAAGTTAAAATCTGTTAAACTTTTATATATATATATATATATATATATATATATATATATATATATATATATATATATATATATATATATATATATATATATATATATATATATATATATATATATATATATATATATATATATATATATATATATATATATATATATATATATATATATATATATATATATATATATATATATATAGTTAGTTAGTTAGTTAGTTAGTTAGTTAGTTAGTTAGTTAGTTGACTAAAAGCTATAAAAGCTAGGTAGTTAAGTTAGGGGAAAATTTGTTAACATAGTTATAAATGATTTTTAACTGATAACATTCTTACATTTAAATCAAATATAAACGGATCAATTAGTCAACTGAATGATTCGACGATTAAATACATATGATTGAATTTTAACAAGTGGTTTCATCAAGTTTGATTTTCTTTGTACTTATCATCATCTTTTAGGAAACATGAGTTTATTGAAACTCTCTTGAGTGCAATTCTTTCTTAGGTGAGAATCACATGTGTTGTGAGGCTTATGAGGTGCAGTGTGTTATTTATGGCATTTTTCCTCAAATTTTTGAAGGTTGTTACAGTTTCCTTCAATAGCGAAAAACAACTGTGGTCCACCAACAATTCCAAAGTTCAATGGACATTATGATCACAAGTTCATGCTTATGGAGAATTTATTTAGACCAAAGGAGTATTGGATGATTGTGGAATAAGGTGTCCATTTGTTGCCAACTACAGTAACACCAGAACAAAAGAAACTTGCAGATGAAGGCAAGTTGAAAGATCTCAAAGCAAGGAATTACGTGTTTCGTTCAATTGATAACTGTATCATTGAAACTATTGATCTTGATAAAAGTTCTTCAAAATCTATTTGGGACTCAATGGCCAAGAAGTATTAAAGATCCATAAAAGTGAGAGGGCTAAATTGCAAGTTCTAAGGTATAGTTTGAGTTGCTTCAGATGAAAGAAGATGAATACGTTGATGAGCGTTTTGCATCAACTCTTGCAATCGTGAATAAAATGAAGATTTAAGGGAAGGAAATGGAGAAACAAACAGTTGTTGATAAAATCCCTGAATCTATTGCAGTAAATTCAACTATGTGGTATGTGTTATTGAAGAGTCAAGCAATATTGAAACTATGTCAATTGATGAACTTCAAAGTTCTCTTCCAATTCATGAGCGGAAATTGATTCATGTCAAATATGAAAACTAAGTCTTGAAGGTTTTGTATGGTAGTAAACTTGCGGGAAGAAGGAGAGGTTGTGGCTTAAATGGAGCTCAAGGGAGAGGTAAAAGATTCACTAAAGATTTCATACAATGCTATAAATGCCATAAACTAGGTCATTTTAA